TACATAAGACTTCAAATCCAGTGAGGTTGTAAATAAATCCACGGTGTGTCCACAGTGAACAGAGATATCCACAATCAAGTTTGGTCACTTTGACCAAAGGTGGAAATTGGTTTTAAAGTGACAGGTTTTTCATTTGTTTGCCTAGTGTCCATTTCTCCTAGAGGCAGCAGCATAACCCTACGTCTCAGAATTCTTCAGAGCTGTGTCCCTCAATGGACTCTGAGAAACGGGTTTTACAGTAAGAACAAAATCCTATCTTTTCCAATTTGGGGTGAAGGGTCCCCTTTAACGCTAGGTAAGTGGCATTCTTGGGGGTTTGCACTGATGTGCTAGCGCTCTAAACCGCGACATGAAAGTGAAAAATACATTTTTACTAGGGATGCACTGACACCAGTTTTTCGGCATCGAGTACCGATATTTATATTTCAGTACTCACTGATGCCGGTACTTCTGCTAGCATGGAGCCGGCTTCCCATGCACTCAAGAAACCGGGAGGCGGGTAATGACACACGCCCGGCTTCCTGATTGCCCAGGAAGCCGACTCTATGCTATTTGGCTGGCTCGATGCTGATTGGCCGGGAAGCCTGCTCCATGTTCCCACGCGGCACTGCCTGTCAGAGGAAATCTCCCTCGGACTGGAAGTTCTGGTATCGGAGCATTTTGGTGAGTGAGTACCTGCTCAAATGCTCGGTATCCGCACTGATACTAGTATCTGTATCGGTGCATTCCTAATTTCTACTCACTACATTTGATTCAGTTTAACCCTTTCACATAAATGACATCATGTATCCCTTGACGTTAAGCGGATGGAAGTTTGTCGCTCTGTTAAAGTGACATTAAACCCTCAGATTTTTTAACATAAACCAATACTGTAATGTGCGCCTTACTGTAATCCATGGATGTTTCCCTTCTCTTTGCTGCTCTTCCTTTTAAATCTATCTCTTCTCATGCTTGGGGAGAACTTCCCTTTGCAGCTGAGTGCCTCTTCCTGTAGTGCTGGCTCAGGTTGTGAACCTACACACAGACACCGTGTATCCATTCCTGAGACAAGGCAGTCTGCTGCAAAACAGAAGTTCTCCCCCAGCATGAAAAGAGATACAGATTTAAAAGGAAGAGCAGCAAAGAGAAGGGAAACTACCATGGATTACAGTAAGGCACACATTACAGTATTGGTTTATGTTAAAAAATCTGAGGGTTTAATGTCACTTTAAGTGAACAAGCACAGTTTGTATACTTGGTGTTCCCTTTATAACAGATCAATTATTACTATCCGCTCTCCATTATACTCCACTTGGTACACCTATTCCATATTGGCCTCCACTGTACCGGGGGCATTTATCTCACTAGCCACCAACATAAGGGGCATTTTTCTCTCTACCCCACAATGAATTGTTGTAGCAAAGGTTCCCTGACACCTGAAAATCTTTTATTTCCTCTGGAATAAAAGGGTTGAGAGAGCCTGGTTTAGGGTATGTGTACTTACCTCTAGGTGCTCGCCTCTCTTGGCGTTTTATATTGCTATAGTTTAAAGGGAACCTGAGGGAATATTTTTTAAGGGGGAAGAAAGACTAGTGATGACCTGTAACAAACAATAGCAGCCAGTCGCGTTGCTGGATCTGTATGTTACTGCAATCTTCACATTTGCTTATGTCAAGTTTTCATATTTTATTTTTCCACGTCTAGGCCTGTGTCTGAGTGGGCAGCTATAGCTCGTGATATCCGTGAGGAGAAAACAACCAATCAGCAGGTGGGATGTAGAATATCTTTAAATGCTTTTACTATACGTATAACATTTTTAAAGGGTTAAAAATTGTACAAAGGTAAATTTTTAAATAATTTCCACAAAGTAACCACTCCAGATGCTTAAGGTCTCATTCACACTGCCGCGCATATACACGCGTACGTACGTATTGTACCATATGCAAATAAATGGCTCCATACACACAGCCGCGTATGGAGCCGTATATTTGCGCAGCCTATATATGCGCAAAAACAGAATGGAACAGAGATGCATCCGGGCAGCATATCTCTGCGTATTTACGGGCACATACGCGTGTTTACGCGCATATGTACAATCATATACGAGCGTCTATGCGTACAGCACATTAAAATTCCATTACGAGTGATGCATTCTGGGATTGCATATAGTATATAGACGCTCGAGCGTATATACGAGCGCATAGACGCTCGTATATACGCAATATACAATTTTGCTTGCGTTGTGTGTGTGAATGAGGCCTTAAAGTGACACTCAGATAAAATCTAAAAATATATTCAGGTACCTTAACTATCTTATTTGTGCATCACTCGGGGAGGGGGGATGGACTACAATTTCAATACAAATTAGTAAACTAAACATGAGACTGCAGTCCATCCTGGGAGCGAGCTTGGAGCGGTGACTACTTTACAACACACACCGGGACCATGGGGAACAGACGTAGCCCCCCTCCAGAAGGAAGGACAGTGTCAGCACCAATTCAGAGATGATTGGAGGATCTACAGCCGAGTGATACACAAATAAGATTCATTGTTGTTCATAGTTAAGGTTCTTGAATGTATTTTTAGGTTTTAACTGAGTTTCGTGTCACTTTAAAGCAGTGGTTCTCAACCTGTGTAACCTCAGGACCCACATTTGTCCTTGGTCATTAAGTCGCGACCCAAGTCGCACTGCAATGGAACGCGAGGCATTGTGTACCGCGCATATCGATGCGGGCATACGAACTGTGGGTGGGAGGTGCATTTGGGTTACCCTTCAAATGAATGGCAACTCAAAGCACCACCGACACCAGAATGCACAGTAGGTGAGATTGCATGGTACCGTGTGTTAAATCGAACGGTACTAGTGTGAACGGGCCCTCAAAAACACTGATATACATACACAACCACAATCTTACACACAGACATTCTCACAAACCCCAAATTTTTTTGTTTTTAAATCCACCCAGTCTCCCCACCTTACGGGAACTGGAGTGGATCCTCAGCCTGGGGTCCAGTGTGAGCTGCTGTGCTGTGATGGAGCTGCATCCATATGGGCATTGCTGGCACAGCTCCCTTGCACACCCTGTAGAGGTGTCAGGAGCCTGAATGTGACATCACTCCGGTCCAGGCACCTCCACAGGACACGTGAGGGAGCTGCAAGCAATGCACGTATGAATGGCCATACCCCCAGCCCATCCCACCTCAGGCTGACACTCGGCGCCGGGCAGCATATTTTGAATGGCTGCTTGGCGCGGGAACTGACAGTGCAATGCTAGGGGGAGGCTGAGGAGCCTCTCGTCTAGAAAAGTGGAAGGTATGCAGCAACACACTGAACATGGGGTCGCGACCCACCAGTTGAGAACCAAGGCTTTAAAGCATCTGGAGTGGTTATCAGATGTGGTTACTTTTATGGAAATTATTTTAAACCAGTATTGGTGCATCCCTAAATTGTATACTTAAGAATTAAATATCTTATTAGTTATTTTACCTCAAACCTTCATGAGGGAATTTAACTCTTTAGGGAATTTAGCCCTGAGTTATTTTAATCTTCTCCACTACTACTGGGTTTCCTCCGGCTTTTTAGATCCAGTTTAAAATCAAATGTCGCTTAAAAAAAAAAAATGTAAGTTCTTTTTATTTGTTTTTTTGCAGTCAGAATTCCTTTCTAACAATGCCCTGTCCAATAATGGTGATCCATCACATAAGAATTGCAAATCTGATGCAGATGTTACTCCAAAAGATACTGGAGACCCGAAGGTTAAAAACACTGACCCTGCTACCGCTATAAAATGTGAGACCGGCATTCTTGCTTCGGAAGGTGGGAAGGAGGATAACGGCCTCGCTTTGAATAAAGGAGGGGAGAATGGTGAAAGTCTTGCTTTGGGAGAAAGGGGTTCAGAGGCCAAGAACCGTTCCACAGTGGAGGATGCCCCTAAATTACAAGACAAAAAAAGAAATGAGGAAAAGTCTGGTAAGAGAAATAAGGAATGTGTCCAAGAGACCAGCCACAAACAAGAGGGAAAAGAAAAGGCTAAGAGCGACAAAGATCGGGAAAAAGTAAAGGACTCCAAAACTGTGAAAGACACCAAAAAGGACAAAACAAAAGAGCAGCCAAAAAATGGAGACCTGCTTGAAAAGGACAAGAAATGCACAGGGGAAGGAAAGAGCACTTCCAGCAACAAAGATAAGCATGAAAGGGAAAAGACTCATAAAGACCACGAGAAGGAAAAGACGCACAAGGGCCACGAGAGGGAAAAGACGCACAAGGACCACGTGCGGGAAAAGACACACAAAGATCCTGAGAGGGAGAAGACTCACAAGGGCCACGAGCGGGAAAAGGCGCACAAAGACCACAGGAGGGAAAAGACGCACAAGGATCACGAGAGGGAAAAGACGCACAAATACCACTCGAAGTCTAAGGGGAAAGAGACAAGTATACACGATGACATATCAATCAATCATTCTGAAATGGAGAACGGTCAGTTCCAGATAAAGGAAGGAAAAGCAGACTCTCAAACACCAGTTAAAGGTCCGGTAACTGATGTGAAGGGGGTCTTTGGGAAGAGGATGCTGGTTGACCTAGATTTATTTCAAGATGCACACTTGGAGGAGAAGAAACCAAAAACCAAGCACCAAGAAAGCACTAAAGTGAGTTCTAAAGGAAAGAATCACAGAAAAGAGGAGAAGAAAGGTGATGACAAAAAGGACAAAGAACAACCCAAAAGCATGAAGCGGGAACGAGAAGATGAGGACATGGAATCTGATGGTGAGCAGAAGAAAAGCAGGCCTAGCCTGGACAGTGGAGACATGTCTGCGGATAATGAAGAAGACTTCTTCAAAAAGCAAAAAGCAGCTACTGCCCTAAAGAGGAAGAGCAGGGAGGAAGGACCGGAGTCTAAGACCAAGAAGAGCAAACTTCAGGAAACAAAGACTAAGAGGAGCAAAACTGAGGGAGAGGGGACAAGGGCCAAGAAGACCCAAGAGAAGGGAGGAGAGGTAAAGACCAAGAAGAGCAAAGAAGAGAAACAGAAAGAGGAGGATGCATCCAAATGGAAGTGGTATGTGTATATCTGTTGTTCCAACATGCAATCCATCGGTGTGCAGCCTGCTGTCCCCCAGACTGCTAACTGAAGCATTGAAACCATTGGTTGCCATTGACTGTTGCGGTCCAGCACATAGCCCTGAAGCATAATCAATCTGCTTCTAATCATCTTTGGGCACTGTAAACTAGGGATGCACCTACTAGTACTCGCCCAAATGCTCCGATACTTGTCTCCAATGCCGGAACTTCTGGTCAGAGGGAGATCTCCCTCTGACCGCAAGTGCCGAGGGAGCATGGAGCCGGCATCCTTTCCCACCAGGAAGCCGGGCGGTGGGTAATGACTTTGTCAGGAAACCAAGCTGCCTAGGAACAAGTGAAGCCGGCTTCCTAGCCAATGAGGAAATTGGGAAGCGGGTCATGATGTGCTGCCTGATTGGTCAGGGAGCCAGGGTGCCTAGCAACAAGTGAAGCTGGCTTCCTAGCCAATCGTGAAGCGGGTCGGCACCTGATGACTCACCGCCCAGCTTCCTGATTGGTCGTGAAGTTGGTTTTCTTTCGCTAGAACACCGGCTTCATAGGCAGAGCCAGCTGTACCCGCCCCCCTCCCCGCCGGTATGTGTTCGCTCACCTCCCGATCTACTGAGCCGACCTGTGACAGTCCCCCCCCCTCATAGTTCTCCTCCTTTAAGCCCATGGAGAATCTTTGGGATGTTCTGGAGAAGACGTTACGCAGTGTTCCGACTCTCCCGTCACTACAAGATCTTGGTGAAAAATGAATGCAACTCTAGACTGAAATAAATGTTGTGACATTGCAAGCTTTTTATAACGATGCCACGGCGCATGTGTGCCGTAATCGGAGCTAAAGATGGTCCAACGAAATATTATTTTTGGCCAGGTAGCGTAGTTTTACCTTCACTTTGTCCCAAGTCGGTTTATCACCGGGAGCAGACATTGCATTGTCTAGATGTGAGTTTGGGAGATCAGAGCGATGTTGATTTACTAATGTGTTTCTTTTGTATGATATATTTTCATTTTTTGGCTTTATCACAGATGACCCTCGATAGGGTCTGGCCGTCTCTTTCGATTTTCCAGGTGGATTTCGACAGGTTATCATTCAGGCTTATTCTCTACAGCAGCGGGTAGCAAACCTCCGGCCCTCCAGCTGTGGTGGAACTACAAATCCCATGAGGCATTGCAAGATTCTCACAGCCACAGACATGACTCCCAAAGAGATGCATCATGGGATTTGTAGTTTCACCACAGCTGGAGGGCCGAAGGTTTGCTACCCCCTGCTCTACAGACTTCAGTCGCAGATTATTCTATGAGAGTGGCGAGCGTGTCTTTGGCTTTCTATCAGTGGGCTTTGGTTTCCCAGGATTCTGGCAGTTTGCTGTCCGGTTCACAGCTGTATTAAGTTTTATAAGACGTCTTTTTTTATTTTATTTTTTGCTTCCACGGTTGCTAGTTTTGGGTGTGAGTTCTTGCAGGCTGCAGTATGATCGCTGCTTTTTCGGACTGATTGTTTCCCTCCTTGCCTGCCCTTCTGTGAAAATTGCTGGTTGGTCAAAATCTACTGCTCTTTGCTGTGTTTTCAATGATTGGAAGAGAAAAATAGACTTTTGTTGTTTTCTCCTTTTTTTTTTTTATTATTTTCTTTGCTTTCATAGATGAACAGAACAGCCGCCCTTCTAGATATGTTAGCTTGTTATGAGTTGTTCTGTGCCCCTTTACCAGTTTGTTACTAACTGAGGATATGTTAGCAGATGGGGCACAGTGGGGGGTTGGCTGCCCCTACGCCTGCCTTTATTTTTTTTATGTACCTGGCACTCTACTCCTGCAGGTGGCAGCATAACTCGTGGTTAAAGGAGAACTATGAGGGGAGTGATTTTCACTTAGCTTCATAATCTGAGCTGACCTGTGACAATGAAACTGTCACAGGTCAGCTCAGTAGATCGGGAAGTGAGAGAACACATAGCGGCGCTCGCTCACTTCTCGATCCTGTCCCGGCAGAGAGCGGTGACTGTCACTCACGGCTCCCTGCAGGGATTCCCCCTGCCCGATCCGCCAGTGCTGACTGGTGAAACGGGGGAGGGGGCGGGCACAGCTGGCTCTGGATAGGCAGAGCCAGCTGTCAATCACGCAGCTGGGTGGATCCAGACAGTAATGTCAGGATCCATCATGGCTGCGGCGTCTCAGTATATGAGCTGTAGCTCCCTATATACTGAGCCTAGGGTGAAGGGAGGACGCTAGTTTGTGTTCTCCCGTGACCCTAAGGAGAACTATGAGGAAAAGCCCTGACCCCATAGTTCTCCTTTTAAGATCTACTGATCTTTGCTGTGTGTTTTATTGAACACAAAGAAAAGTACAAAATCAATTTTTTCCAATTTCCAAAGCATAACTTAAGGACCGTAGGAGTAACCTGTACGCCCTGGACCCCAACTGGTTATACAAGATCACGGCTGTAGAAGTAGCTATGATCTTGGTACTGTTTTCTTCAGCGGCCTCCTGGCTTTTATGTCTGATTTGATCCAGGTGCCGCACTGTACACCGTTGTTGCCGGGCTCTCCCGCTTCTCCAGGGGTAGCCCAGGACTGCAACAGGCATATCACGTACCTAGTAGAGGACCGATTAGATGAAGAGGTCTCCCTTGTGGCTCTCGTCTCGCACCCCTGGATGTGGGAACAGGGAGCGAGTACACAGACAGGTGCCAAGGTGTTCAGTCGCTGTGCCTGGTGACAGTCCAGTAACTGGGAGGATCGGCAGGGCTGGTGTTCAGCTGAGAGGTCAGCGTGGTCTGCAGCAGAAACTGGAGTGAAGTCAAACAAGCCAAATAGTCAGCACGGTGCCAAGCAAGAAGACGGAAGTGAATCCAGGAAACAAGCACAGGGCAAGGGCAGGCAACAATTGGGCGTAGTCAAGGCAACAGGTATCATTTTAATATTCGTCGCTTTAAGAAAATATATTTGTTTGGTAGTTTCAAGCAAATCTTATAGCCAAAAATTCTGAATTTCAGCATGTGCAAAAAATTTAAACAATTGCTCCGGTCCCAAAGAAGTTAAAGTAAATCCGTTTTGATTTTTTTTCTCAGATAATTTTTGGATTATAAAGTTATGTAATATTTCACTTGCCTTCACAATACTTATAGAAAATAGGATAAAGCTGTCGGCAAATCTTTTTCTCTCTCGGCGCTGACCTCGTTATAAAACGTCTTGCTATCTGTAAACTACACTTCCCAGGGTCCCTGTGTGCTGCTGCTGGCAGCTGATTGGTTGAGTTTCAGGAAGTAACTTGAACTGGAAAAGGTCACTCACTTGTGCTCAGCAGACATGAATGTGTGTGTGTCCTCGGTGTGTTTGCCATGTTCAGGAATGGATACAGGCTGCTGTGTAAGCTTGGAACATACTCGGACTGCGGGCACAGGTGGGGTGTCCTAGCAGTGTGTGTGCAGAGGGCAACATTCAGTATACCTTGTACCAGACTGTGGTAAGTAACTGCATTACCTTGTGTGTGTAATGTCAGTGTTATAGAGCCAGTCTGCTGTTTTTAGGATTGTGAGGCCGGGGGGGGGGGCATTTTATTTTAAACAGCTGAGAATGGAGAACCTGCAGCATCCAGTGTGTTTATATATGTCATTAGGAAAGCAGATACAGGGGCCATGCTTCTGTACTGTTTCTTTAGTGCAGCCTTTCTGCATCTTATAACCTCGGAAGATCCCTGGAAGTAATTTTCAGGTCTGTGGTAGCCTCTGCTAAATATGATTGTACTAGCAGCTTACAGCACGTTGGCGTTAGTACTGTACATTGTAGACGTAATAAAGCAAAGTAATGTGGTATCATGTGTATCCGGAGTATTTTACACCCAAGGAAGATCACTCATTAAAGGATATCTAAATCCAAACCAAAAGCTGATGTATTTCCACTTTTTCAGCCAAGCCATCTTAACACCAGTTGACACCAACTTTAAAAAAAAAAAAAAATTATGTATATATTAGGGATGCTCCGATATATCGGCTGCTGAAACATATCGGCCGGAAATGGCACTTTTGGCATAATGCCGAAAGTGCCATTTTCTGGCCGATACAGCGGTGCATCCGTGTATTCTCTCCTCTTGTTGGCTGTTGCTCTGTGTCCCAGCCGGGAGGAGAGAAACTGTCACAGGCGGCCGTGCGCTGCGGGAGGAGAGCGCTGTGAGCAGCCGGCATCTCTCCTCCCACACCGCTCAGCCTCCTATCACAGAGCGGTGTGGGCGGAGACAGCCCGTGCTGTCACAGCAGGCTGAGCCCCGCTCGCTCAGCCTCCTGTGACAGCGAGTTAGGGTGGAGAGTGAGTACAAGCGGTCAGTGATCGTGAAGTGTTTGTAGATAATTGAGGACAGAGTATGGTTACTATATCCCAAATTATAAATGAATGGGAAGTGATCTACATCCTTCTGTCCATACATGATTGTGGTTATAGTAAACACACTCTGTCCTCATGTTATGAATGATCAGGAACACTCAGTATAGAGGATTCCTGTTCATTGATAACAGGGGACACAGAAAAAGAGACTAAGGGCTCTCTGCGTCTCGGAGGGCTCTCTGCGTCTCGGAGGGCTCTCTGCGTCTCGGAGGGCTCTCTGCGTCTCGGAGGGCTCTCTGCGTCTCGGAGGGCTCTCTGCGTCTCGGAGGGCTCTCTGCGTCTGGGAGGGCTCTCTGCGTCTGGGAGGGCTCTCTGCGTCTGGGAGGGCTCTCTGCGTCTGGGAGGGCTCTCTGCGTCTGGGAGGGCTCTCTGCGTCTGGGAGGGCTCTCTGCGTCTGGGAGGGCTCTCTGCGTCTGGGAGGGCTCTCTGCGTCTGGGAGGGCTCTCTGCGTCTGGGAGGGCTCTCTGCGTCTGGGAGGGCTCTCTGCGTCTGGGAGGGCTCTCTGCGTCTGGGAGGGCTCTCTGCGTCTGGGAGGGCTCTCTGCGTCTGGGAGGGCTCTCTGCGTCTGGGAGGGCTCTCTGCGTCTGGGAGGGCTCTCTGCGTCTGGGAGGGCTCTCTGCGTCTGGGAGGGCTCTCTGCGTCTGGGAGGGCTCTCTGCGTCTGGGAGGGCTCTCTGCGTCTCTGAGGGCTCTCTGTCCTCAATCTCTTTTTCTATTTTTAAAAGGAAAATATCAGGGATCTGTTTAGACCCCCAATATTTCCCTGAAGCTCCTAAAAGTAAAGTTAAAAATATTTAATAAAAAATGAATAAATATAAAAAATTGAAAAGTTTATAAAAAAAATTAAATATTACAAAATGTTGAAAAAGTTAGAATAAAAACATTTTCTGTTTCGGCCTGACATTAATTTTTTTTCATTTCGGTTTTGACATTTTCATTTTGGTGCACCTCTAGTATATATATAATGCATATTTTTTACTTGTGAACATTTTTGTAGGTGGGAGGAAACCAATCACGAAGATGGCGTGAAGTGGAAATTTCTGGAGCACAAAGGCCCGTATTTTGCTCCTCCATATGAACCCCTTCCAGAGGACGTCCACTTCTACTATGATGGTAAGGGCCGGCAGTGCTATCCTTTCTTTGAGTATAGCAGTTTAGTAGATGGCAGAGATGCCAACTGTGCACTTTTATAGAGCACGCCAAGTATTTTCTGTCCTGTTGGTGGTTGTATCATGCTCTCTGTCTTTGGGCAGCTGAAGAGTTCGAATGAAGGGAGATACAGACGGCCGAGTATTTTTCTATAATAACTGTATTTCAGATAGTTATAGCTGTAAAAATTAAGATCCATGGTGGTGAGAATCTGAACAAAGCTATTCCTGGCATCTCTCCTGATTGCATGAATCTTCTCAGAGGTCAGTTTTCTTAAAGGAGAACTATAAGGTAAGTGAAAATCACTCAGTCTCATAATCTGAGCCGACCTGTGACAATAAAACTGTCACAGGTCGGCTCAATAGATCAGGAAGTGAGCGAACACATACCGTTGCTCGCTCACTTCTCGATCATCTCCCTGCAGAGAGCGGTGACTGTCACTCAAAGCTCCCTGCAGGGATTCCCCCCTCACCCTGTCCGATCCTCCAGCGCTGACCGGAGGAACGGACGGGGGAGGCGGCTGGTACAGCTGGCTCTGCCTCTAGATAGGCAGAGCCAGCTGTCACTCACGCAGCTGGGTGGATCTCGACATTAATGTCGGGATCCGTCCCGGCTGCGGCGGTCTCAGTTTACCATGAGCTGTAGCTTGCGCTATACTGAGGTTTGGGGTCACGGGAGGGCGCTAGTATATCTCCTCCCGTGACCCTTGGGAGAACTATGGGGAAAACACTGACCCCATAGTTCTTCTTTAAGCATGTTGCTGAGCACTACACAAACGAGTAGCCTAACTACACCGTCAGGTCAGTGGTTTACTGATTGGACTTATTCCAATTCTCATACACTATATGACCAAAAATGTGTGGATTCCTGACCGTCACACCCATTATATTGCCCAAAGTATGTGGCCACCACTTCCAATGGTTTAGGTGTCTCCATTGAAGAGTAAGGTAAATGCTTCAGCACACAATTATTTTTGACAATTGTGCACTTCAACCTCATGGCAACAGTTTGGGAAAGGACCCTTTCTGTTCCAACATGACTGTCCCTGCGCACAAAGCCTGTTTCATAAAGGCATGGCTTGACAATTTTGGTGTGGAGGACCTCTAATGGTCTGCACAGAGCCTTGACCTGAACCCATCTGAAAAGCTTTGGGATACATTGGAATGCCAATTATTAAGTCGCTCTTCTCATCCAGGATAATTTACTGACCTCACAAATGCTTTTTGGCTGAACGGACATGAATTCCCTCACACTCCAAAATCTTAAGGAAAGCCTTACCAAACTTGGAGGCCACAAAATGGGGGCCTCTATGTGAAATTCCAATGGTTTTGGAGTGGGATGTCCAAGTTCATATGGGTGTGATGGTCAGGTGCCCACAAGCTTTTGCCCAAAGAAGTGCATATAAAATTTAAACAAACCTATTAACACCTTGCTAGTAAATACAGATTCAGAGCAGAAAGTCTAATGTAACACAACATGGCCTATGACTCCTTTTGCCAGGGCAGAGTAATCATTCAGTCCCTTCTATGTATTCAGGAGAACTGATGAAGCTTAGTTTGGCAGCTGAAGAAGTGGCCACTTTCTACGGCAAGATGCTGGATCATGAGTACACCACCAAGGAGGCATTCCAAAATAATTTCTTTGCGGACTGGAGGACGGTAAGTACTGCATTGCGTTAGGTTGCTTCGGTCATCGTCTTCTATATTGGAGTATATTCAAATGAATAAATGCTTTTGGTTCTCTTTATTGTCATTTGGGGGAGGCAGAAAGTCTTTAACCACTTCAAGACCAGGTGTTTAGACCCCCTTCCTGGCCAGGCCATTTTTCAGTATTCAGCGCTGCGTTACTTTGACTGACGTTTATTCCGTCATGCAACGCTGTACTGAAATGAATTTTACACCATTTTTTGGGGACAGATAGAGCTTTATTTTGGTGGTATTTAATCACCACTGGGGGTTTTATTTTTTATTATAATTAGGAAAAATTACTGAAAATTTTGAAAAAAAAACGTTTTTTTTAACATTGTTAGGAAACATTTATTATTACCCAGTTTTTTGGTCAAATATAAAAGATGGGGTCACGTCGGTTAAATAGACACCAAACATGTCAAGCTTTAAAATTGCGCGCACCCGCGACATCGCAGAAAACGACCGCAACCAAAATTAGCCATAGGCGACGCTTTAAACGTTTTTACCGCTCATCCGTTTAGTCTTATCAGTGATTGATGGCCCTAAACTTATTGCTCTCACTGCGACGTTCGCGGCGATATGTAACATGTGCGGCGTAATGGGCGCAATCGTCTTTTTTGCACGTATGCGCCCCCGACGCGTGT